GAACTTCACGGGCGTGGGCGTCGCGTAGCTGAGGACAGGCGTCGCTGGGCTGCACGTGAGTTGCCGGTGAATGACTATGTCTCCTAGGAATGTGCGGCGTGCGACTGGGCTGCAAGCGGTGTCCCTAGCAGGTTGTGATGCGGCGTGCGGCTGGGCGGGACTGCGTGTGATTTCTGGCAGGACTGCGTGTGCGACGACAATGGGATGATTCGCGGCGGTAATTTTCTGGCGGCTTGATGGTTCGCCGGATAAATCCAATAATAATAAATTCGTCGGGATGCTCGAAATATATTGGACCTTAAAATCTTCTAATGTATGACCTTATACTCCTACTTAGAATAATCTTGGTGGTGCAGTTACACAAAACTCCCGAACTCTCAAGATATATGTAATGCACGACTTTCCACTCTTTTCAAGATCTACAAATCGGCCAAGACACATTAGCAAGAGAGGTTGGCATGGTGTATTTATAGGCAACATTAGGGACCTTAAAGAGATGCTAAATATGAGTTTTTCAAATTATGGGTTGGGAAACCTTATATTCTCCAACTCATTTCTCTTCCAAAAGACCTAATTCCTTCCAACCTAATTACCCCTTTTAGAAGACTTTCAAGTCTTTTAACGTTTAGTAATATTCTAAAAGGAATTATATTATTCTAATTAGGATATGACATGCTTATTTCGGTTTGACGGGCTCTAACAACGGTATCAACGTTGTAGACTAATCTAATCTTTTCTCTGATTAACCTAATGTGTTGCTCCTCCAGCTCATTATATAATACAAGGAAAAGAATACAACATTGGTTATTATTTCGCTGATAGCATATATCCAAAATGATCTACCATTGTGCAAACAATTCATGAGTCAGTTGGTCCGAAGAAAATATATTTTGCAATGAAATAAGAGGCATGAAGAAAGACGTTGAACGTGTATTTGAAGTACTTCTTCAATCAAGTTTTCGCATTGTCGCAGGGACGGGTCAGTTCGTTATTGAAAAAAAAAAAGAAGTGCAACATGGTATATTAACCGCATGTATAATTTTGCATAATATGAATGTCGAGGATGAACATGACCAATGTGCACCTATCGAAACAAAGATGGAAACGCCACCGTCAAATGTCGAAATAGCAATAATAAATGAAAGTAGTCGATTTTAAAAATTCAGGTCTCGTTAAAAAAATAAAAAATAAAGATAATCACAAAGCCCTTCGAAATCCATTAATTGATCATGCGTGCGACGAATTTACATGTTTAATTTATTATTAAAATATTATATTAAATTTAAAAATATTAATCTATATATATATAAACAGATTTACTATTTTTTAAGAATAGAAGGTCAAATTCCTGGTCAATTTCAGACACATTAATTAGTTTCTAATAATAGCAGTTGTTTTTTTTTTCATTTAATACTTAACCCTCAAATCACGATCCACATTAAATGATTACATATAACATTAGTTTGTTAATATGTTAAACAAGCAGCCCAAAAAAATGGGGTTTGATTTGTTTGGAAAAATGATTACATATAACATTAGTTTGTTAATATGTTAAACAAGCAGCCCAAAAAAAGGGGGTCTGATTTGTTTGGAAAATTTTTGAAATATTCCGTCCGATTTAAATTTAGATGTGTCATGTTGCCATTAGGATATTTTATATAAACAAATCATCCCTTAATTGAAGGGATTTAGTATTCAAAAATAAACATTATCCGATCCTAATTTGAAAGAGTTTCTTGAGAGTCTATATAATTCAAACAATAATAATCATCCTTAATTAAACATAAAAAAACATTGTTTCCCTTTCATAAAACACACATTTTTCAATTGTTTTTTATTTCCCATAAGTATCGGTTACACGTTTACCCATAAAAATACATCTATAACAACACACTTTGCAAATATCAAAACACCACCATCATCAAAAGAATGGAAATCCCCTTCGGTGTCGTCCCTGACATTCAAAGAAACAATAAATGTCCGTTAAAACTTCGTGTGTAAACAAAGCAATAGCTTCAACTAGGAGCAAAGCCGTGCATAACACGAACAATTGTCGTTGGAACCGAAATAAACGCAATTTATTTGGTCCTATCTAAGAAAAAAGCGTTTTATTTCGTAGGATCTAAAAGATTTATGAAATATATATGTTTCTTCGTCGAATTCAATAGAAATTTTTGAGTTGTTGTTGGGAAAAAAATGAAAACAGTGGTCATTCTTTGAAAAGGAGCTTAAATTTGAAACAAATCGTCATTTTTATGACTGAAACATCAATTTTGAAACGAAAATTTATATTTCATAATTGTAATATGTACAAAACAAAGATATGAGCCTGAAGATCTTCATTTTTCTGCGTGTTGTTTTCATGATTTTACTTTGATTTTCGAAAAAATCATCTGAAAAAGAGCGAATGATACGAAGTTGAAGAGACAAAGCGCAGAAAAATGAAGACAAACCCTACATTTTCGGTGAAAACAAGCTTTTATACCCGATCAGATTAGATGTGAACCGTTTGATCCCGTTGACCTTATCGTGACCGTCAGTTGTAATTGTACGTGTGTTATGTCCATTTGATACACGTGTACTGGAGTAAAAGCCATGACTTTTGGGCTGTTTTCATTTTCGAATTTTATAAAACATTGGTCCAAAATTACTTGGACTTGGTATTACTTTTTTGGGCCCTTAATAATTGATTTTTTGTTGTTGTTTGGGCCCATATTATATACTAAATTTTGTGCAACGTGTGGTATATGTCTATTATTTAAGTTATAATAACTTAATTAAAAAAATGTATATATCTATTATTTAAGTTATAATAACTTAATTTAAAAGCATTGTTAAAGAGAAGTTAATAAGGTGTTAAATATGAGCTCCTCCGTGCATCGCACGGGATACGCACTAGTAAATAAAATAAATGAAATCAATTTTAACCATTTATCTCCACGGACCCCACCATTGGTGACTTGGTGTTGACTATTGAGAAGCTTGCTACATATATCATCTTCTATTGACGTGAAGAGCAGAGTCCAATTTCCTCGCACCGACACTCCTCCGTTTACACCAAGATATT